TACATGCATCGATTAATCGGGACCGTAACTTTAACCTCGAGGCAGTTAATGACGGAAGAAAGCAGCCATGCGCCCCTACACTTTGAAAACCTCTTGAATTATAACTAGTAATAATACTTAAAGACATAGCTTCACTTCTCACACATGCATATTGACCTCATGAAAATTTTTATAGTTAAGTGCCTTTAGTTTTTCATACACCTACCTCTGACCCTCTCAATAAAATATTCTCCTATTGGTATGATCATTTAGATTGTCATCCCTTTTGATTCTTTCATTAAAATATTCAGTTGCTAAATCAAAAAAGCCTACCATTTTTTAGTAAATTGGTTAAATCTATGCCTATACTTTCCATTTTTTTGCTACAATGATTTCTACTTACAATTCTTATTTTTACTTCAACTTCATATTTTCTTTTTTTGGTTATGACTATCATAAGTATTGAGCTTGAAAACATAATGGAGTGATGGTTTTTTTTCACAAAACATTTTTATTGTCTATATAGAAAAGAAAAAAGTTGTTGAAATTTGTTTATACACCCCGCAAATTTGAATCCACAAAGTCTAGACTTAGTTTACGTTGTTTGTGAAAGTATATGTTGGATTTGAACATCCTCAAGACAAAATTTTGGTCATGTCCCCGAGACTTTCGCATTCAAGCAATCTTCAAAAAGGTTTTGTTCCAAGGATCTTATCACATAGAAAACAAACCAAAATCTTCATTTCCGTAAGGAAGTTGCAGTCTTTAGTGAATCGAACAACAATTGTTGTGATTGTGAATATACAATTAAACAAATCTGCCAACCTTACCCTGACTATAACATGTGAACAGTTAGCTCAGAGTTTACTTCTCAACTACCAAAAAAACAAAGGTTTTTCGTCATTGAGTGCACAGATGTGCAATATGAAAGTCAAACAGAAGGTACTAGTCTTGCATCTTACTTATCCACAGTGACCAGGGTTTGCAAGTTTCCAATTAACTATGAGAGAAGCAACATGTCTAACAAACAACCTATCTGATACACTTTTTCCTTTGAAAGAAAGAGTGTAATTTTATTCTATGGAATAACATTTTTAGTGTAGTTTATTTCCTACACAAGGGTCATTATCCTACTTATATAGCGGTATTTAAATCCCCTCAAATATATTTTTATTCAATTTCTCTTGATGATAGATAACTTATCGAATACACGTGAAACTCATTATATATAGTAGATTCCCACTTATCCGAAGTGTCTGATTTATAAGTGCAAGAATTGAGAGAAAATATGTTGAAGATAATCAAAAACCGAGAATGAATTAGTATAGATCTAATATTCAAGATGATTTGAATTAAGTAACTTCTCTTGAATTCAAACCCAAAACCTCAAAGTTATTAACCCAATACTTTAACAACTACACCAGGCAATCAAGATACTTTTATTTGTCAAAAATGTCATAGCCATATAGTTTTGGATAAGAAGCCATAATAGGAGTCTTTCTATTTACTCTATTTGCCCAACTATTTTCTTTTTGAGAATTGTTTTTTTCAAAATATCTAGTAGGATTTAATTGTCGAAACTAGGGTTACCCAAAGCCAGTGAAGTGGCTACCTAGAGGGCCCTTACATGGAAAAAATAATACAGTCTATCAAAACGCGTAATGTGACTAATTTTATTAAAAACTTGAAGAGAAAAATCATAAAAATTCTAATGTCACGTAATATACTATTTTCTGGGTTCCAAATGATTAAAAAGCGAATTCATGAATGCAATCTCATTATGCCTTTGACCTAAGATACTTACTAAGATCAGTATCTTGAACAAAAGAGTATTGGTAGGGGTAGGTGGCAAATGTAGTTGAGGCAACATGGAGTTCATGAGTGCAAAGAAGGACAGTGTTATGGAACCGAAATTTAATTTTGGGTAAATATCACTCATGCTCTCTAATATTTGATTTTATTACACGGACATTCACTCATATTTTAAAAATAACACCGACTGCTCCTTGACATTTATAACTTGTAATAGTCACACCCCTCCAACTAACAAGCGTTAAAATTGTTAACCGTCAAATCTGATGTCATTAATAATAATTCTTAAAATACCAAAATATCCCCACCACCACCCTAACTACGCAGTGCACAACATTTCTCCCCCCCCCCCCATTTATAAAAACACACACATACACAATATGTGATCTACAATCTATTTGAGCAAGTTTCGTCGGCAACCTTCACAACCACCCATTATTTCACCATCAAAATTTCAATCACAAAAATCAATAATAAATTCAATTTGAGAGATGAATTGCAAAAATCCAATCATGCACCAACACCGCCAATGGCATTAGAAATTTGTGGCAGACTATGTGCAGAGAGAGAGAGAGAGAGAGATATGATGGTAATTGTGAACAGTGGAGGTTGTGGGTGGTGCCAGGAAAGAGGAAAAAGGGCTTTGGGCATAGAGGGTCTTGGGTCGTGGGTCACGGGACGATGGGTTTGGATCTGAGCATGGATTTGATCAATTAATCAAAGGTAAAATAGTCTTTTTAATAATATTGTTAACGGCATTCATCTATTGGGGTCTCAATGTCATTTTTAAAATTTGAGTGGGTGACCATGTAAGAAAACTAAATATCAGGGAGTGTGATTGATATTTATCCTTAATTTTTGATATTATACTAAAAAATATGTCAACCCTTTGATCTTTCTTTGATTTCATAGGGACCGTTGATCCAAAACAATTGGTAACATTTTATTAGAAAAAATGAGGTCACTTGTGGTATTTCAACAAAGGGTAGCATTGTGGATTTAATGCGCATTCAACTTGGAACAGAGGCATTGTATGCAAAAAAGTAAAAGTGTCACACACACACATGTAAGTGCTAAAAAGTAAAAGTCAGAGCTAACGATTCCTAAAGCATTTATTTCTCTCATTTTTATCTGCCTACTAATTTGTGAGATTTTATTGTCAACCAAAAAAAGTAAAGGGGTTGTTTGCAAATGTTGCTGAAAAACATGGACTTTCTTTTTCTTTAATTCTTTTGTTTTTTTAATTACAATCAAGAGTACTCAGACCAGTTTATGTGTACTTCGATTAATTATTCTCTCTACAGTCCAGTCAAATATAGGTGATTTATGTCAAAACTAAGAAATTCATGAGAGACAAATCTCTCGTGCCCTGATCCCAAAAGAATTACAAAATTTTGAACTCAAAATATCTAAATTTATACTCATCCCTATCTCTGTCTGTAACTCTGTTAGGTTAACCTTGATATTTAAAGATGGACTTTCATGAAAGAAAGAAAGATGATTGCATTCTGGCTACCCTTTATTGAAGATGCCTTCAACTTTAAACAGCTGCACCTGTATGCATAAAGCAAAAGTCAAAGCTAACGATTCCTAATGCATTTATTCTCTCTCTCTTTCCCATCTTTCAATTCAAACTTGCTGGGATCAAAAACAAGGAGTATTCAAACTTGCTGGTTTGAATAGTACTGAACCTTTCCAGCAGCCCCATGCTGTGTTTACAGCCCAATTGTGTCTTTAAAGTTGTACCCAGACATGCTTTGAATTTGGTTTCCTATTAATTTTTCTTCCCAAAGAAAAGGGGTGAGTGTTCCCTCACGCCTCTACCATTGCAGCTTTCCCAAGCAAAGTTGATGAGTTCATGCAATTAAACAATGAAGCCTCGAAGTTTGCACAAGCCCCATGGCCCAAACTAAACAACTGTACAATAGTTGGCATATATCTCATTCTGTTGTTGTTGGATGAATTATATTTTAATCAGGGTAACTCGTGTTCAAAAATACGGTGTAATATGAATAATTTTAAGAAAAATATTGATAACCGTTGAATAAACTACACTAATTTCACAATGATTTAGTAATTAACTTTCATTACTACTTAACCCAAAAAAAAATTAACTTTTATTACAAATATGAGAAATTTTTTGATTTTGTATCTTAGATTCTAGTTAAAGAGTAATGCTGTAAATACAAGAATTCAATTGGCAAAGAGAGACCAACGTCGTAATTAAAGAGGTAAAAGTACTTTTTTTTATTTTTATTTTATTACATCAAAAACGGAATTTCAAAATACTCACCACGACACCCCAACCCCAACCGAGTAAAAGGGTACGTTTTTGTCCTTTTTAACATCTTTTTCTTTAATTTGTTTCATTAATAAATCACACACCATAAATATAGAAAGAACTAATGACATCTTTGATCAAATAGTACTTCTTACTTTGTAAAAAAATTATCTTTTTTAGGACATGTGTTCAAATCCTCCTCCCCCTCCCCCTCCAAAAAAAAATGAAAAAATATATACAAAAAGAAAGAAAAATCACCCACCAAATCCCTAAACTTAATTACTTTCCCATATTCACAAGGCGATTTATTGGATATTATGGTTTTTCTTTATATATTACATTGAATTCCTTTCACAAACAAGACAACAAGTATTTTCTATATTTATGAATACATACCCATTATAATTACATTTGATTGAAAATGCTAAGTCCATCAAAAATTACTAATTGTTTGAAGGTATACTTAGAAATGATATTTCTAACTGCCCAAAAAATAATATACTTTTTACTAGCAAACTATATAAGAAAATTGCCAATCCTCTGTTGCCCCCTTTCAATCAACAGCCTTCCACAGACATTACCTTTCAACTATCTTATCTACCACTTCATTTTTAAGATCACTTTGAGTTCTATATTGTTGGTGTTAAACCGAAAAATATTACCAAAAAAATACTCCGTAAGTGGTCAATTGCAACATTGGCGATTGACAAACTTACACTTGGAGATAGAGATTGATTGTATCCTGTGAACTCCAACCAATAGCAAATATCAATAGTCAAGTTATCTGAACTTATTTGTTAGTCCTACTCTCCTAGAGAGTTCATACTTGACTTATTCTAGAAGTGTCCTGACATAGAATTTAAACAAATAACATATTCTAGATATTGGCAAAACATACAGGAAAAAAAAAACCCAAAAACAAAAACAAAAGGCGGTACACTTAGTACTTTTGCAATACTAAAATCATGTCATGTTATATGAACAAACACATTAATTGTAGTAAAGATATAATAGCCTCTAGAGCTTTGTTGTAAGATTTGGGCATGAACTGATAGACAGATTGAAACACTCCTTATAAGACTCCAGCCCTTTTGTCTTCCTACTACATAAATTCCATAAAAAAAAAAAAGAAAAAAAAGTAAAAAGAAAAGTTCCTACCAGAAACAAGAAGAAGGCCAAGAAAGGCCAGTTGACCCACCATAGTTATGGTGGTTCTGAAGGCGAAGGAAAAACTTTTTTCTCCTATTGTTGAAAAACAACCCATTTCTGAACCTGAACCACACCATCTTCCGGATCTTCCTGGCGGATCTGAGTCTGACCCAGATGACCCGTTTAACTCTGAAGAAAGACTTCTTCAGCCTCTCTGTTACACTCTGCTTCCTGCTAAACTGGTAGCTTCTCAGAAACAACTGCCTCTTCTCCATGTCTGTATACCCCATCTCACTACTCCTAAATATTGGAACAACCAGGCCTAGTTGATTCACAGCCATATCTCTCTATGTGCAGAGAAAAAGAGGAGAGAGAGAGAGAGAGGGAGTTGGATTGGAATGAAGGGGGGAGAGAGAAGGGAATATATAAGAGTGGTTTTTGAGGCTTTTGGATGTCTCTCTCCTCCTGCGTGTTGCAAGTTGGCCAGTGTGTTAGGGACGCACCTGGGATTTTACGACCAGCGCGCCGCCTTAGAGGTAGCATTTTTTCTTCCTTACGGGGGTGCGTGGGGTTACGATATGATACGTGGACGTGGGCAGTTGGGGCGGTCACGTGACTTTTGTGGGTCTCATTTGTTATGAGTCATGTTAATTGGGACATGGGGAGCAAGCAGCCATTTACTTTTGACTTTATATTTTTGATTTTTCTCATAACATGGAATAGTCTAAGACGGTTATATAATTACAATGTAGTAATTATTTATTATGCATGAGTAATTATAATTTAAATACTTTTGGAAATTTTGATTAATATTATGTAACCCAAATTTGATACATTAAAGCTATCAATTTGCGTTGAGTCATTATTTTGGTTTATTAATCTATTAGAAGGGTGTGGGTCAATAAAACAATAGAGAATATAACTCAATTAGTACCTATGAAGCACGAATACAGATACGACAAAATTTAAAAAAGTAGGATACGAGTATAGCCAAGATATGACTATAATAAAATATATTTATTATTTTTAATCATTTTAATACTTATATATTTTAATAGTTCTGTAATGTACAATAAGAAAAATTAATAATTTTTTTTAGTTTTAAGAAAATATATATCATATCGTTGTAGTATATTCACAAAATGAAGTGAATAATTAAAGGAATCAAAAGCTAATATTTACCTAGTATTTAGAAGTAATTTTTGCTAAAATAATAATATAATAGCTTTATTTTATAGTCTTTTGGCATGTAATTGTAAATAATATTTAAGAAACACTTATGTGTCATTAAAGTAATATGAAATTTTTGTTAATGTACTGTATGGTATGTGAATTCGAAAGAAATGTTAAAAATTTAACTTAAAAATTATATATGTTGGTCAATCACAAAAGTATTCGCAAAATATCATAATATTTAATTATTATTGGATACATAGAAGATGTATTCGATATGTATCTTTGAGTATTCAATGAGTATCGTATTTAATATTATATGGATACGAGTACGTCAACATCAACGAAATATTCGTACTTCATAGATTTATACTATTACTTTTCTCGAAGGAGTGAGAGAAAAAGAAGGCAAAAGTTGTTGTTACCTTGACAATTTGAATAAACAAAAAGGAGCTCTTTGCGGTCTTTGTTCGTTCACCATTGAGGCTAGAGAAAATCCTAATTTCGAATCGCACAATCAAGGATAAAGTTTGTATTTTGGAAGAGATAGCTTCCCAACTCCTCCTTTTCTAGTGCTACCGAATCATCTACGTTCACTCTTTTTGATCAATTTTTAGGAATAATATCAAGCAACACAACTCCGTAGAAGAAGTTAGAGATAGCAAAAATTCAAGTCATATCAAAGCTTCGCATACTAGTATTAATTAATTTGGTGACTCAAAATTGACTTGAAAACATCCAGAATAGCTCGGCTAAATTATATGCTACTCGAAATTTATATGTGACGTAAAACGGTATCATATTAAAAAATGTGAAGTCGAATATAATTGTCGACTCGTATTAATGTCGATCGATACTATAAATATTAATTTTTATTATGTTGTGTAAAGTGAATCCCATGGTAAAAAAATTTAAGGATATATATACAATTGAATTTTAGAGGTACTTGAAATAATTTAAGAGGTAAGAGTGATTGTATCGCAATTGCACGTAGCGTGTACAAATCGTGCCATCGAGATCCATGTAGTGTAAAAATAATTCTATGACTGTTAGAATTTAACTGTCAGTCAGATAATTATTTTTCATGGTGACGATTTCTGGTGATATTTCATGTTATTGTTGATGACTATACAAGAAAGTCCTCAACTCAACAACATATTAATTATTAAATTCGATGCTTAGTTTCAAAGCAGTTGGTCGTAATGGAGAAATTAGAATTCTTCAAAATTGTTATCTACAAAATTATTTTATTATATTTTGGAAGTAATTTTTTAGGAACCCTCTAAAAAACTTTTTTAGTGGAGCAAATATCACTTTAAATAAAACAAAATTTTTTTTTTTTATTTTTTTGGGTAAGTAAGACTTAAAGCCTGTAAATTGTTCAATTTTACATTAATCCAAAGCATTTTTAACAATAATAATTACAAAATGTTGTTCAATCATTCTTTTTTTTTTTTTTTAATAACATTTTTGGTCCCTAAAATATACATATTTTATCCGTTTGGTCTCTAAAATATCAATTTAGTCCCTAAAATATTCAATTTATGTTTAAATAATCCCTATAAAGACGGACTATTAAGTTTTTGACAGAACGATCACGTGTTGGGCACATAATACTGTTTGAATTAAGGATCTACGTGACACGAATTGAAACTTTAGAGACTAAATTGATAAAATTAATACAATGAGAACTGAATTAATAAAATGAAAATACTGTAAATATGCTATTAACCCTTTTTTTTTTTGGGAAACAAGGCCGGGGCCAGCCGTTGGAATGGTACTTCCAACATTCCTATGAAGATTCGTTGAAACAACCAACAATCAGACCCTTCTTTATGAATAAAAAATTCAATTGGCAAGATTGGCCTTAAAAGAAACTTGGTAAGATTTTAACTTTAATGGGTTTTAAGTTTGCCAAATATATATATAAGTCGTGGCGATTTTCCACAGGGCTTAAAACACTCTACGCAACATGACCTATTATTGTCAACCCTATCTGTTGCGGGCTTGGCTCCACCCCATGTCGTCAGATCAATTAGACTTCATTGCTGGTGGAAGAATTTGAGAGAGAACCAACTAAGAAAGCAGGATTCTAAAGCAACAACAGAGTGAGACAGATGAGAAAAACTTAAAAAAAAGAGTTGTAGAAGCAAAGCATTAATAAAGATGTAACGACACCTTACATTGCATGTGGCTTGCTATGTAAGATTTAGATTTGATAAAGTCGTGTTATGTGTACTTATAAAGTAAGTTTCAGATAAACTAATTGCCTTGAGTCATGCAAAATCTTGTCCTACATTCTTTGAAGATTAGCATATAATTAACTCAACATGGGTCAAAAAAAAAAGGATAAAAACGTAAAAATCTATATCTCTTGGCCGTATAAAATACAAATTTGGCAAATGCGCGTGGTTTGAGGTGAATATGCATGGAACAAGCTTGTATTGCAAATAAGAGTTCAAAAGTTTAAAGATTAAGCGATTGAGACAACTTTCCGTTATCAAACAAATATTGACGATTTTTCTAATATATATACTAAGGGGTATTACGTTTGTATGGCTGAGCCTCTCTCTCTCAACCACAACTAACTCAAGCTGCTCACCTCTCTCTCTGTCTCTCCTCCCTATACTTCGCTTGTCTCAAATTTCAGTGCTCTCCGATACACTTTTGCTTCATTTTTCTCAATTGAAAATCACCCACCTCGAATTCAATGGGATCCAATGCACTACCAATGCGCATTGTCCAATTTTTTTCTCAAATAAAAATGTACAGAAAGGGATCCAAATCCCTCTCTTCCACATTCCAAAAGGGAAAACACAACTTGGTGATTAAGAAAAACTTGTAAAAATTATCATATTACTAACAATACAAAGCAGAAAACATGTCCGAAGCCTCATATTCATCACTTCAAGAAACAAAAAAAGAAGGGGGGTACGGGGTAGGGGTAGGGGGGGCTTCCTCTTCAGCAAATCAAAGGGTCATTCATTCAAATTCATGATATGGCATACCACAAGATGTTAATGCGTCACAAACTATCCTACAGACACTCCAGAGAAACCAAAACCAGAGAGAAAGGTACTTCCTCTTCAGTAAGTTAAAGGGGCCATTCATTCCAACCCATGATATGGCAGACCACAAGAAGTTGCTACGTTACGAACTGCCATACAAAACTCCAGAGAAACCAAGTCCGAAACAGGGATTTTTTGTTCATCTTAATATCACGATTTTGAATTCACTATAAATGAGCAAACACCACAAACTTTAGTATCTCCAATACAAATGGCTAAGTGGGGTATAACACTGAACAAACAGACCATTAAAGACAACTGTGAAAAAGAAGGAAGAACCTATTTGCCTAAATGTACAAAGCCTAAAAGTCAGACAAGTGCGGAACTAAAGTTTTTCTCAAGGCAGAAATAGCATACATTTCTCGATGTGTCATCTATCATTCAAATTTCATTGGATTTCCCCGAAGAGAAAAATAGCTACAAGACCAGATTTCTAGCAGTGGCACATCATTCATTATTTTCACTTAGTCCCAGCTTCATTAGCTGCAGGTACCTTTTCCGAGTAATTGGACATGTCTATTTCAATGAGTGATAGGTCATAGGGCACAGAAAGAGAACTTGAGGCATCAATTAGCAAGGAAGAGGTCATTGCCTCAGATTTTGCAGCATCAGAAGCTGTGCCAGGGTTTTGGGGACTGCCACTACTAGAAGAAGAGAGACTAGAGGTTGGGGTATCATCCAACTTGTTTCCAAACATGTGCTTGTTTCGTCTAACAGTATCCATCTCTGCGCCAGTCGGAACAAAAGTCCGCGACCGATACTTCTTCGCTCCCTCATCGCCCTCACTGCTGTTGTAGAGCACATAATCGTGATAAGTTGGTGCAAACTGTATGAAGGAAACAAGAAAACAACTGTAAGGACAGGATAAAAGGAAATAATGGTACTCCAAAGGATCGCATGACCAGGGTAGAAAATGAGCATGATTGCAAGACCACCTGGTGGACTGTGTCATGGTAGAAATCATTTAACTTTAAAGCATGTGCAAGGCTTCCAGTAAACCCGCGAGAGCCACCGATATTTGCACCAGCATATTCTTTATATGGAAATGCATAAAGATGACCCACAGCAGCAATAAGCATCTCAACGCAAACTATAAAATTTTGGAAGTCAGCAGCTTCCTTTGCGTTTTTTATAAATCCAGACTTGGCAGCAAGAAAAACCAGAACACCCTGCGAAAGAAAGGAAACAATGAGATGGACACC